CAGGCTGCTGCCTGGGGGGCAGGGTCTCAGAGCTTGGGCTCCCGCCTCAGCAGGGATGTCTGCAGCGTTTAGTTCAGCTGTGTAGTGCGAGCCTAAGGCAGCGGACTCAGTGTCACTGCTACTGTATTTCTGAAGTGTAGCTGCACCCACAGTCCCCTCTGTCTCACAGAAAGCTTTTGTTGACTATGTGCTGGCCTTGTGGGTTACCCCTGATGTACAGGCGCTGGTGAACTACCTGCCAATGAGCATCACTGTACTTGAAGGGAACTGCATTATTTTGAGGGAACCACGGTGCCCTGCTAAGACAAACTTGCAGCCAATTCAAAACTACTAAATGATGTTATAAAAAATACTCCTTCAGGGCCCTCATGTTGAGTACACGCCTAATGTGCAAGCTACATGCCAGACTGCTGGTGCCTAGATGTGCCAATAGGGGATAAGTTTATCATCATAAACAAGCTGTTTGTAAGAAGGAGTTTGCTAGGCTGTTGCAGGAAAAATACTGGTAGTGGCCTCTGCCCATTGGCCCAAGGGCTATTTAAGTATTTTATACAAAGTAGAACAGCTTTAACTAGAGACTCCCAAGTGGCAGAAGGCATCTCTGACCAGCATTGACTTGAGGCCTTGGTTCCTGAGAGGGGCTCGCTTAGGCAGCTCCCCTTTCAGCTTGCTGGCTTCTGAGAGTCCCTTTTTTAGCTCTGAACCCTCTCTAGTTCTGGCTGCCTAACCTGTGAATCCCACTGGGCAGCAGGGTGTCTAAAAGACAAGCCCTGCAAATGCTCAGCCTAAGAGCCTGTGGAGAAATCAAGCCTCCCATGTCTAAGAATTCAGCTGTGTGGCAACCTGTGTGTGAGATTAGCCCTGATGGGTGAGCTCCTTGATGGCTGAGTTTCGGGGTGTGCAGACTGAAAGAAACCAGCTGCAGTGATACACCCATTTGAGTCAGTCTCCTTCTCTGTGCTGCTGCTTCACTCAGTTTGTTTTATTATTTTTATTTGTGACGGGGGAGGGATTAAAATAAAAAGTCTGTCGTCTATTGTATTAAAAGTGCTTGTGTAAAGCCATTAGTTTGTTACTGTTGAGCTGGACTGAGCTCTGACCAGCCCAGGACATGTGGTGCTTGTATTGCCACAATGGGGTTTATTCACAGGAAAGGGAAATAGAAAATAGGGGAGATTGCAGGAGAACTCTGTCGTACCCATTTTACAGTGTAGCAGTCACTGTCCACTTCCCGGTGCTAGGGCAGAAGCAGCAGCGCTAAAATGAAAAAGTTTCCATAATAAAATTCAGGGAGGAGCAGCTTAAGTTCATCACAGGTCTAAGCAAGTGACCTCTGAGTTACTGCAATGCACAGCAGTGATAAGGGACTTCCACACCTAGATGTCTGGGAACTAACACTCACAGTGAGTAATTTAAAAAACAACAAATGGTCTGGTAGCACTTTATAGACTAACAGAACAGGTAGATGGTATCCTGAGCTTTCGTGGGCACAGCCCACTTCTTCAGATGACTGGTCTATAAAGTGATACCAGACCATTTGTTGTTTTTTTTCCTGTAACAGACTAACTCAGCTACCCCCTGAATCTCCTTCAGTGAGTAATTTGTGAGTAACTGTGTTGGGTGGGGCCATGCAGCAAAAAAACCAGGGCAGGAAGTGTCAGGGCTGGGTCAGCTGACCGGGCGTGCACTTGAGGGCTAGGAACAGCAGCATGGACATTTGGGCTCCAGCTAAGCAGGAGCCTCTGCACTGTAGCTCTGTAGCACAAGCCTGAAATAGTTCACCTGAGCTCGGACACTTGCTCTTGTGGGGTTTTTTGGCTGTGCTGCCATATCCTTAGCTGGCTTGTGTTCATGCCCTTTCTGTTAAGGGAGTTAACCCGGCTGCTGGGTTAATGGAGCAATCCAGGCTGAGAATCCTCAATCAGCAACATAGCCCAGTTTGTGCTGAATCAGCCCCAGGTGGATTCCACAGCTAGCGAGTGGTGTAATCCTGGATACTGCAGATCTCCTTTAAGAAGGGCAGCCCTGGCATTAACCTCCGCTCACAAACACTGCCCCCAGAAAGACCTATTTCTCCAATCTCTATAGCAGAGATCTCAAACTCCCAGCCCATGGGCCATCTCAGGCTGGAGGAATTGCTCCTGCTGCCACAGGAAGTGTGAGGGAGCTCAACCGCTGGTGCCAAGCCACACTAGGCCCTCCCCCGATAATCCCTGAGGCTATGTCCCTTGGAGGATGGGGTGCTATGGGAGGAGAGGGCAGGATGGTGGGAGACAGAGTGAGGCTTAGGAAACAGTAACAGACAGCCTGCTCCTCCCCAGCCTGCCAGCACTCTCAGGCCAGACCGTGCATTTACTCCAACCCACAATAGCCCATGGACTGGGAGTTTGAGACCCCTGCTCTACAGCCAGGGGTGTGACTCTATGAAACACCTAACTCATGGTGCCTAGCAAATCACAATAGGAGCTTCAAAGCTTGAGTTACGCCCCTAGGCTCCCTGTACAGTGAAGGGGGACATGTGGGTGCCTAAGAATGGGATCCATAAAAGCCTGCACACCAGGTGGAAAGTCAGGTAAACTAGCCAATGGTGGATGCCTAGAAGAGAGATGTGTCCTAATCTACCCCCACCATGGAGATAGGCATTTAAATCCAGGCTCCAGGCACCTATCTCTATTTGCAATCTAAAGCCACAACCTGCTGTCTGGAGTCAGGCTATGCAGGTGTCTTGTGAGGAAGCGGTGGCCTCTCTTACAACCTTTAGCCACACGCTCACCTGGGAGGTGGGGAAACCCCTGTTCAAAGCCTCTCTCATTGGTCAGTGGGAGAATGGACGTGTGTCTCCCACATCCCCGGTGAGTACCATATCCCCATGACCTAAGGGAGGTGGTGTTGAACATGCTCTCTGAGTGCACCGACTGGACTGAGCCATGTGGGGACAGGCGGGGAAATGCCTGTCTTTCCCCTGGTTTGAGGATTTTGCTGCAGCTAAGGCATGAAAGAGTTGTCTAGACCTCTCCCGCTTCCTGATGCCATAGTGAAAATGACCAGAGGCAGGAGGAACTTGGAGTCTTAGGGAACTTTTACAGTGGAAATGTTGGTGCCAAGTGAATGTGGGTGCATATAAGGCAGCTAAGTGAGGGGCTTTGTGGCTCACAAGGGTCTAAATCTGCTCTTTAGGTGCCTGAATCCCTTTGTACATGTAGGACAAGCTGCCCAGAAGTCCCCACTGCAAGCAACCCAGAAAATCTTCTCAAGCGGAGCCACCAACCTGAGAATCCAATGATGACAAAATTTACTGAGAAACAATCATTCCAAAACCAAGAGGAGCAGCAGCCAAAAAGGGTATGTCTACACTACCACCCTAGTTCGAACTAGGTGGAACGAGGTGGAACGGTAGTTCGAATTAGAAAGCCTAATTCGAACTACCTACTCCATGCCGCATGTAGCCGCAGGCACGGAGTCCTAACTACCGGGGACGCGGCATGGAGTAGGTAGTTCGAATTAGGCTTTCTAATTCGAACTACCGTTCCACCTCGTTCCACCTAGTTCGAACTAGGGTGGTAGTGTAGACATACCCAAAGAGAACAAGGACAAACTGCAGAAATCAGTCACTGCATGAGTCAAATGCCTGCTAGGCTAGGACAACTGAACTATGGCAGATCCTACCAAGTGATCAGATGGGACTTAAAATGCGTCATGGAAAGATGCTGCATGGTTGAAGCATGGAACTGATGAACCAAGAAGTGGGCTGGGGAGAGTGTGAACCTGTGCAGAAGATGGAGCACTGTGTGCATGGTCAACAGCAGATTAGGCCAGCAGCTGAGTACAAAATATTCCTATAGGCTGGGGGGGAAGAAGGGGCAGGGGCTGAGACTGCTGATCAACTAATTCATGCTGCATGTCCACCAGAAGAAGTCTTCTGCAACGCAGCAAAGTAAGCTCTGGGGACACTTCTGGAATCTCTCCCCACTCGCCCTGCACTTTTGCTACCCAATCAGAATTTTTGTCTAAGATGCCAGGTCTTCTCCTCTTGCTGCGTTATGTTCTGGAGCTTGACATAAGATCAAGCTGTGGGCTCTGAATGGCAGGAATCACATGGGAGCCCTCACTATGTGAGTGAGAAAACAACAAGTAGTCCTGTGGCACTGCAGAGACTAACAAAGACGTATAGAACCATGAGCTTTCATGGGCAAAACCCACTTCATCAGCTGATGAGCTGAATGAGGGAGATGGTCTCTCCTTCAGCCTGGAACCTGTCGCTACAGTGCTCATGTTCCACACGGAACGCTGCTGCTGTGCTGAATGAACAGTATGGAAGGCCTGGACACGCCCCAGTCAGCTTCCCTGTGGAGCCAGATCCCATTACAGTCAAAATGTTCCCACCTTCCATCAACACAGGAAACAGGAGCTCCAAAGTGGTGCCCTCCTCAGTTGCCACATGGATGAGCCTTGCTCATTGGCCTTGCTCCTCTTGGCTAGGAAAGCTTCCCCTTCAGATGGGCACTGGGCTCCCTGTTCTGTGGTGCTGCAGCAGCACAGCTCCTGGCCACTACTGGCAACAGGGGAATATAACAAGACTGGGTACAACATCCAGTTGCCATGGTTATCTATAGACACAGTGGATTCAGACTGTCCTGAGCCAATGCCATAGGGCATGCAAAAATCACCAAAGCCCACCACTGTCCCACATAATCCCAAAGGCTCATGGCCAGGGGTTACTGTTGTCCCACTCAGTCACAGGCACTACTGACTGCTGTAGAATACGGTCTGTAAAGCTACCACATAATCCTAGGACACTAAGCGTAGATCATTAATTTGCACAAATCAATCATATACTGTATTGAACTCATTGCCAACGAAGGCCTCACTGTGAGCAGCTTTCTCTTGAAGTAGATTCAGCTCATCAGAGTGCCAAGATAAAGTGATGCTCACAGTGGTAAATAATCACCTCCCCTTGCCTTTCACACTCATTTCCCCTCCCCTAACTTCCCCCTTGTTACCTGGGATGTGCTTTGCCCATCCAATGATCACCACCAGTTCCCTGTCTGCTAAGTCACAGAGGGTTGTCAGCGCTTTGATGTCACTCTCCGGCATGGTGGGGTCAGGCATGGCATAAATCTTCTCTGGCTCTGCCACCATCAGGTGGGAGACGATCTTAGTCACTGCAAATGTCAGAGGAGAGGTTACTACTGCACCTGGCAGGAGATGGTGTGTTTGTAGCAGCTTTCCGACAATACTTAGCAGGATACAAAATTGGTGTTATGGGACCTGCAATTTGGGATCTCAGAAATGTGTTTTGTTCACAGCAGGAGGGAAACTGAACTGTAGTTAGTGTAGAGTTTTCAAACTTCTTATGCTGTGTGTTCCTTTCCAAATAATGTAGTCTGCCACCTACCTCCATCTGAGACAGGGTAATAGCATACCTATGATTAGATTGCCAAATCTTACTAAGCAAAATGTGTTCTCTGCCACTATAGGACTTTTCTCACACATTCCCAAATGACAGCCTGCATACCACTCTAGGTATGTGTACACCCCAGTTTGAAAATCACTGGTGTAGAGGTTGAAAACTAGAATCTATGACATTTTAGTACTGAGGCAACACCAGTAGAAGTCTTATAAGAAGACATTGTTCAGTTATACCAGGTATCCTATAGACACACAACAACAGTGAGAAAAGTCTTAGATCAATATGCTGGACAAACAACTGATGGGATGGTGAGACGCTAAGAAAACAACGTGGTGACATGGTGGCGAGAGATATGGGGGCCATGTGATTTAGTGGCTCTTGGGTGCAGGAAGGACCACAGCAGCACTGAAGTTATACACTTAGTCTCTCTCTCTCTGAGACAGCTCTGGTTAGGGATGTTAATTTTTGACTAATCAAGTATTCGATGGAATTTCCATCCACTAGTCGATAAGGGCGACACTTGCTATCCTGCTGTGCCTCTCCCTTTGAAATGTACAAGAGCTGCCTGCAGCTCTCGTACATTTCAAAGGGAGAAGTGCAGCACTTGGGACCCTGCACAAGAGTGGACTGCTTCGGTCCCGCTTGTGCTGTGTCCACTGTTGCGCCGCTGCCTTCCTCACGGAGATGGTGCTGGGGGGAATCGGCTTTTAAGCCAGCTCCTGCTCCTCCCCTCCCTGTTCCTCTGATACAGTGGCAGCAGGAGGGGGGAAGCGACTAGTTGAGTAGTGACTCAACTACCGGATAAGCCTAGGCGCTTACATCCCTAATTCTGACTGATGATCCAAAAAGAGTACCATCAATGAGCCATAGCCTTAGATGACACTATTCCACGCACAGTCTATATTCATTGAAAAAAAAAAAACCCAATCTGATGGTGGTGGTTTGTAATGGAAACAGAAGAGGACAACAAGCCCACAACATTATTTGTGCACCCACAACACCAATAGAAAAAGAAGCTGTGCTGGACTTAAGGAACACAATAGGAAGCTTGTACATACATGGCTTTTTGGCTGGAGGAGGAATCTGTAAGCTCAGATAAGTACTGCTCTCTGAGTCCAATCTTCTCTTGTACTTCTGGCGTCCTCCGCGGACCCGGTCCAGACGAACTCCTGTAGGGAAGAGAGGAAAGAAACTTACAATCCCCTAGCAGCGTCATAATGACTGCTACAGTTTTGTAAATGAGGAAGCCTGGATAGTCTTCCTTACCCAGCAGAATTTCCCTGACCAGGACAAACGGCTTATGCGCTGAATCCAGCCCAGTTGTCCCAAGAGAGCCAGGTGGGCAGCCTCCTGCTCTGACAATATCACTAGGACAGCTATCTCTCCAGAAAACATTAATGAAGACAAAAACCAACCCACCTCAATTCTTGAATCATTGCATTGTGGATAAATTGAGGGCTTCAGATTTCTGTGCCCTCTGGATGATCATGTTTTTAAAAAGAAAGTCTCAGAAGTGTCAGTCGAAACTGCGCTTATGAAAAAACCCTTTTAGATTGTTCTTAAAAATGAAAAGTTAAATGCTCTGTGACCTTTTGCTGTTTATATTTGAGGAAAGCTGCCCCTAACAAATAGATTCTGAAATATGAATAGAACCAAGATTAGTCAAGCAAGGCAACCCATAATGAAAGAAGAGCTAAATATAAACAGGAACAAGACATTGTAACTTCTACCACAGAAAGGCAATGATAAAACCGAACGAAGGAGGCAGTGAAGAATTGTAGTAACAATACTTCAATACTCTGAGTTAAACAACAAGCAAAGCATCAAATACAACACTGAAATCACTAAACCTATACAAACAGCAATAGCAGGATCAATCATTGAGACAAGAACAGCAATCGAACTTCTACATCAGTAGTAGACTTGAGTGAATAGTGGAAAAATAAGACCATGAATAGCTGTCCAGATTATTAAATTCCTTTCTTGTTGGCTTTTTCTGGTCGTGTTCAATCTCTATAAAATTGGACAAATTGGACAAACTGCCATTGAAAGTCAATTGCGAGTCAAATGGAAATTGAATTTTAATTTTGCAAATGCAATATTCACAGCAATAATATTTGTGTGCCGATTTCATCCAATCAGAGTACCGAAATAACACCACATGATTTATCTGATTTATCTGACAAATCTAGCAACTATTTGGTGATCAATCCATAGAGCTAAAAAAAAAATACATCTCATAACTACATTTTAAACAACATGTACCTTTCAGGAAACTGCAGTCTACTCACAGCTATTGTATAGCAGAGAGAGACTTAATCTGACAAGTAAATTACTCAAATCAGACCAACACTTTGTTCTCTAACCAATACTGTTTCAGTAACCTGGAGGCACTATACCAAATCTGTACCCAAAAGCAATGACACCCCTTACCAATACGAGCAGCCGTACCCTGCTACTAACTCTACCACCACTTTACAGCAACATCAGTGCCCATGTGAGGGCTATGATGCAGATTTGAAGCTATAGACCTGAGTAGCAAGTGGTGTGGAAAGCATGACACCTGCTTACCGGCACTCATGCACGAGCATAGGAGCTGGCAGGGTTCTGTTGGCAAGGGTGCTTTGAGGGCTGGATGGTGCGGGTGCTTAGTACTGCGATTGGTCCAGTGCTTGTATGCACAGTAAGGCCCTTGGGACCACACAGTGATCTTCCTCTTCATGAGGCACAGCTCCTTGCACGTGAGCTTGGGAGGTGGGGGAAGGTAATATGATAGGCCAGATCCAGTCCCATGGTGTGCATCCCCACTCCAGCAGCCAGCACTGTAGGGGGAGGTGCCATTGACCCATCTTCTCCCTGTCTAGCCTGGTGCCATTTTCAGAGACCTGCTCCCCAGTGTGCAGGGGAGTAGAACCAGCTCTTGAAAGCCCAGCACAAAGGAATTGCTGTTGTGAGCGGCCCTTGCACAGCCCAGTGTGCAGAAAAGAGAAGGGAAGTGCATGAGAGGCAGATGAGAAGAGGGAACACGACTGAGCTAGGCTCTGTTGCACTTAGTTCTCCACTGGCATGGGACCTTGCCCTAGTTAGAGCTGCTCCCCCACCGGCGAGGCTGGGCTACCGAGAGTCAGGTGAAATCAGCTCTGACAGCCCTTCTCTGCATCAGACCCAACACAGTGAAGAACCAAGCCTAAAATTATAGCTTAAGCCATCAGTTTGGACACTGGAACCATTAATTTGAATTGAGATGTGAGGCCTCACTCTCCACTGCCTTTCCCATCATACTGTCCTTTACATGCATGCAGAGGGGTGTCCCATGTGATCACTCTGAGTTGGCAGCATTGCACACCGCACTTTGCACGGGTCAGGATGACAATACAAGGGCCAGAATGATGATGGAGCTGATGTCTAGCTATAGTGGAGATTGGTGGCTGCACAGGCCAAGTTAAAAGGATGATGTTCAACCACCTGGCCCCAAAAGAAGTTAGAACTGCACAGGGCTCACTCTAACCTCCATGGCTGATGTGTGGGCCAGTGTTAGTAGAGGTGCAATTATGGTCCTCCTATGCTACATCACACTCCTACCTGATTATCCCACCTAAATGCCCTGCTACTACCCCCGGTATTACACCACCTAAATGCCCCAGTACTAACAAGGTTATATCCTTGCACATGGGATGCTGGAGCTGACTGATGTGGGAGGACTTTCAACCAGCAGATAATTCACTGCTGTTGCTCTCTTTTAAGGCCACTCTGTGCTGCTTACATAGTGCAAACTTATTTGGCATAATGAGCAAGGCAGGAGCCAATCATCTCCAATGAGTTAAAATAGCATTGTTTCCTGTGAGTAGTCAGGGGGTTCAGAGGTGCTGAGCATGGGGGGGAAGACTTGACGGCTAGACAGACAGGTCAGAAGAAAGTCCAGGAAGCAAACTGTGTGATGTCAGAGCATACTGGATGAGTTTGCTGCAGCTGGCACATTTTCTAAGCTGGCCACTGAGCCAGTGAAGAGACCCACTGAACTTACAGAAAGTCAATGGGGCCTGGCTCCCACATCCCAAGGGCACCTTCAAACATTTTATCCAGTGTTTCTTATTTCCCTTCTCAGCACCAAGGAGCCTGGCTGGATGGCTCTTCCTTTGAAGTCCCATCAAGTTCCAGGGAGAGAAGAGAAAAAAGCAGCAGAATTTGGAGCCTCAGGAGACCCAGGAAGAATGGCAAGCCCATGCGACACAAATCCAGAGTCCTGTATTAGCCAGGAGACCCCAGGACTGGCTTCTATCCTGTAACTTCTGTACTGAGATCAATGTGTTCAGATTTCAAAAGACAGAAACCCCATGAGGCCTCTATCACATGCTGTGCTGAATGAGCAGCGCCTCAAGTCAGTCAGGGAGAAAACATGCCTCCGCAGGAAGTGTGGAGTCAGCAGCAGAATAGGGAAAAGGCTGCGAAAGTGATAAACACCATGAATATGACAGTGAGTTGCCTGGCTTAAGCAACCCCTTCTGAAAGATCCACTGCTTCCCATTCCCCCTCACAGCTTAGAACAGTGGTCCCCAACCTTTTGGGGCTGCCGGGCTCCCGGGGGCAGGGCTACTCACGCACCAGGCACCCGGGGGCAGGGCCACACACGCACCCAGGGGCGGGGCTACCCATACGGTGCGCACCTGGTGCTGGCGCCACCTATGTGCCGCATTCCTGGGGCCAGCGCCTGTGTCGCGCGCCCAGGGGTAGGACTGCCCATATGCCATGCGCTGGGGCTGGAACAGCCCATGCGCCGCACACCTGGGGACAGGGCCGCCACTGCCCATGTGCTGCATGCCCAGGGCCGGTGCCGCCCCTGTGCCATGTGCCCAGGGGCTGGCACCGCCCATATGCCACGTGCCCAGGGCTGGCACAGCCCTTGCGCCACGCACCCGGAGGCAGGGCCGCCCAAATGCCGTGCGCCCGGGGCTGGCACCGCCCATACCCTGTGCGCCCGCAGGCGGCCCTGTTCACACGGCGGGCACCGCGTTGGGGACCACTGGCTTAGAAGCTCACAGCTCCTGTTTCTTTTATGGGCTGATGGGCAGATATGATAAGACTGGGGGTGGAATCACCTATCCGCTTAGTAGAGGAGTTAGGAACCAATCTGCAATTCCCCAGAGTGCACTCTCTGCACATTCTGATGAAGCGAAAGGGGAAAAAAATGGCAAGGTAGTTGCTTTACTTGTCCCAAGGAGACATGCAGACAGGCGCATCGTCCCCAGCATTTGGCTGGTGGAATGGCTGCACAGGTTGCAGAGGTATTAGGGATCCTCAATCAGATTATAGGGACACAAAGGACTTAAGTGCATTAAAAGAGATAGAGAGACACAAGGAGATTTACCCTCCGTCCCTGGCTGAGTGGATACAGGCCTGTTCATCCAAGGACTTTGGCTTGTTAATTTCTAACGAGACAGTATTTTCCTCCTGTTCCCCATCCTATGACACTCCTTGAGGCAAACACTTTAAATAAGGTCACAGCCATTGTTCTGCCTCAGCAGCGGCAGCATTAGCCTTAAAGAGACAGCGTGTGGACTGACCCACATGCGAAACATCTCATCCATTTCCCAGTCACTAATCGGGGCAATCTGTAGGGGTGACAAGCAACTAAATGCATGTCAGTCCATTTGTTGTGTGTCTTATTATTGATCCTGGGTATAGTGAGCAAGATACTTGACAGACAAGTAACAAGAGAAGAACTCTGCCCTAAAGAGCTTGCAGTCTAACCGGTCCCATACAGACAGAGGAAGAGGGCACAGCTGATAACAAGAACGCTTACTTTTCCTTTGCACTTTTCACTTCCCGGAGTTTTGTTACTTTTCTGTCTGGTTGGTTTATTCTCTGATTTTGTGAATGCCTCTTACAAGGGAGTGAGGTGGAAGAAGAGGAGCATTGCAATGGGTTTCTAAGAGGGATGTGAAAAAAGAGTGGTAGCGTGGTGGGTGAGAGAAGCAGTGCCAGGCCTGGATGCAGTCAGAGAGGCAGTGTCAAACCCAAAGCAGGGTGGGCTGGGCTAGAGGGGCAGTTCCAGGCCTGGAGCAGCAGGGGAGAAGACAGATGAGATAAGAATGGGACAAAGAAACAGCAAGGGAGACAAATTGTGAGGTGTGAGTAGAACAAGGAGAGTAAAGGGTGCAAACAGAAATGAGATGAGAGGCATACAGGAGGCCAGGATGTGCATGGTGGAAGCATACAGACAGGGGCGGCCCGAGGCGGGCTGCCGGCAGCTGGCACCCCAGGCGGAATGCACAATCGGCACCTCTGTGCCCCAGGCGGAATGCACAATCAGCGCCCCCACTTCCTCAGCCCTCAATGGCATGATGTCATCATTGGGCGCCCTGTTTAATGCGGCGCCTTAGGCAACAGCCGAGTCGGCCTATACGCACAGGCCGCCCCTGCATACAGATGGATGTCAATCCAAAATCACATGGTGGTTAAATATTCTGCTTAACTCCTTCTATGCAGAATTGCAGGGTGGGACACATGGTATGAAAATACTTTGTGGGTTGCAACCAAACCTTTAGGGGTCACCCCATGCATGTTTTGCTTCCTTTGACGCTTCCCAGGATACGAGCAATAGAATCTTGTTAGCCTCCCGCTGCTGTATGATTTCCAACTCATTTCATACTGGGATCCCCACAATCCAGTTCCCTGCAAAACAGGTGTACAGCTCACAAAATCACCATCTCTATCTGGAACTCACTGGCCCCCATGTTACCACCTTCTGCAGAGAGGCACAAACAAACTGGGCTTCAAAGACATAAGAACGGCCATACTAGGTCAGACCAATGGTCCATCTAGCCCAGTATTCCATCTGCCAACAGTGGCCAATGCCAGATGACCCAGAGGGAGGGAACAACAGGTAATCCTCACACATTCCCTCTCCTGTCTCCCATTTCCAGACAAACAAAGGCTAGGGACACCATTCCTACCCATCCAGGCTAATAGCCATGAATCTATCTATCCTCCATGAATCTATCTAGCTCTTTTTCTGAACCCTATTAAAGTCTGAGCCTTCACCACATCCTCTGTCAAGGAGTTCCACGGGGTTGACTGTGCACTGAGTGAAGAAAAACTTCCTTTTGTTTGTTTTAAATCTGCTGCCTATTAATTTCATTTGGTGACACCTAGTTCTTATATTGTGGGAATAAGTACATAACTTTTCCTTATTCATTTTCCCACACATGTCCTGATTTTATAGACTTCTATCATATTCCACCTCAAGTCGCCTCTTTTCTAAGCTGAAAAGTCCAAAGTCTTTTTACTCTGCCTTCATATGGGACCCGTTCCAAACCCCTAATCATTTTTGTTGCCCTTTTCTGAACCTTTTCCAATGCCAATTGGAATTCCTTCCTCACACCTAGAAGGAGTGCCTCCAGCTCAGACCTGACGCATACTGGCATGGAAAAGTTTGGAGGATGCTCATTTTTTCCTATTTCACTTTTAGGGGTTCATTATGACACAGAAAAAAGCTTGCAGTGCATAAACATGCCCACGGATCCACTTGTGCTGTAACAAAGAGAGTGACATACTCTACTCCTGTCACCTATGAGGAGAACCCCTCTAGAAACCCTGCCATGTGTATGAGACTCCCTTCTGCCACATTCGTCTGGGTTTCTTTAATCTGAGGTGTATGTGATTAGTTCTCCTGCCTGCCCTGTCCCAAAGTGGGTCCCAAGATGAAGGAAGGTGGCGGCGCTGGACTTGCAAGTTTACCTGGTCCTTTTCAGCCCACCATTCTGCCCTAGTAGGGCTGTCAGTTTTCTAACTGTCCTGTTGGTGCCACTCGTGTTCCAGGAGCTCATGTGAAGGGGGGTCTGTCTGTGACAATGCCAAGCCTCTGCAGTGCAAAAACCAATCTGCTGATCTGTTCAAGCTCCCTGCAGTTCTCTGCCATGCCCCTCAGAGAGACATCTGCCTGACGAGTTCGGGATCAGATGTCTCCTCGCTGACTTGATAACATCAGGCTTTTGGGGTTTTTTTTCTTAATGGAAGTAAAATAATTCCAGTGTTTTTTTTAAAAGCTGGACCCACGCCTAGTCTGTCGGAAGTAAAAATAGCCGAGTGTGCAGAGGCAGCAGCACAGGAAATCAGGTTTAGTTTTTCTTTTATATTCTGGGAACTAAAAATACTCTTAAAAGCTCTGTGAAGCTGAGCCCTGGCCAGTGGAAATGCAGCGTAGGCCCAATATCTGCTGTCGTGTCGAATTACTAGCTGCACATCACTTTCTATAGAGTCCGATCACATGCTCATGAATTGATAGTAACAGAGTGATCTATCCCAGCCTGAAGGCTCATGGCAGAGTTAAGCCAAGTGGCTCTGATGGGATGATCGGTACCCAGACTGAAAAGAACACAATTAAATGGGATGCTAAGAGGAATGCGTAGGCCAGGGAGCGATGCTGTAGAATTCACACCAGCAAGGCTGTTCCCTGGATGCAGAGGTCAGAGCCTTCTTTCACTGGCTAAACTGGAGTCTGAGGTACAGCTTCTACTCCAGTGCCCCGCTGGTATTTGGACAGTGCCATAGGTGTGTGTGGCAGGGGAGAAGTGAAAGGTCCCTGTCTCACGCAGTTAGCAGTCTACACGAGACAGAAGGCCATAAGCAAATGGCCACAGACAATGGATCCCAGGCAGTGCAGACTGGCAGGACTGGACAGAAGGGCCCAAGGTGTGATACTGGGGTTTTCCTTCTACTATTTGCTGTGTGTTTTGCCTTTACTCACAGGTGAAAGTGACTGGGATATCATAGAATCATTGAATATTAGAACAGGAAGGGACCTTGAGTGGTCCTCAAGTACAGTCCCCTGACCGCACGGCAGGACCAAACACCATCTAGATATGCTGGGGTGCAGAGCGCAGGCACGAGCAGAGAGTTTTAAAGAAGAAATTGGCGAAGCAGGATATTATTATTAGACCTGATACAACAGTAAAAAGAAGGAACTGCTGAAAAAAACCCTTCATTGGAGGGGGGAATGTGGAGCGGATGGTCTCTAACCAGGCTCTTCCAGCTCTGTCTTATATGATTCTAAGGCTCCAGGTGCAAAAGGCACCATGGAAAAGGCTTCTAGACATTGATATGCTCTATGACTAGCTTCTTGGCTCTATTAGGACAACTTTACAAGGCTGCAAGAATCTTTCCAGTGTATGGCTGGTACAACCCTTCCTCTCAAGGATTCCATGCTGGCATGGCCTCTTGGTGCCCAAAGGCAGCTAGCACAGCCTAGAGCAGCAGTCTGGCTGCAGAGGGACACCTGGTTGTTACAGATCAGCAAGGATGGGGAGATGGTGTAGGGGCCAGCTTTGCATCCTCCCTGAGTAGTTTTCTTGCTCTGAGACTGAAAACCAGCATCTGACCTTACCATTTGATTGGCTAAGCAGTGTATCTAATGAGCGCGCAAAGGAATTTTTGACATATACAGTAAACTTCCGATAATCCGGCACCTTTAGGACCCAGGGGGTGCCAGATTATCAAATATGCCGGACTATCAGAAGGGGGGGCTATGAGGGGTTTGGAGTGGGGTGGGAGGGGATGCCACCCCAGACCCCTCATAGCCCCCCCTTACGATAGTCAGGCTCTGCCCCAGGAGTCCCTGATTCAGCCACTGCTGGTCAGTTTCAGCAGTAGCTGAATCGGGGATGCCTGCAATAGAGCAGCTGGAGTGCTGCCGGGTTGGTCCCACAGCGCCGAGGGGCGGCGCTACAAGACCAACCTGGCAGGACCCCAGCTGCTCTGCCCCAGGGGTCCCCAAGTCAGCCGTTGCTGAAACA